CATACACGTCTGAATACACTGACTAGGATAGGAATGTCATCGGTTTCTTTCTTCTATGATAAGGAACCTGAGGTCCAGAGAAGGCAGTTGCCCAAAGTTACCAGTCAGTGGCTTAGATGGAAAGTGAATTTGAGTTTTTAACTCGGAGAAGATAAGATTAGGGGAACAGGAGAAATAGAAACTCCTACAACAGAGAAGATTGAGACTCTGTGATGTCACAGAGGCTAAGAAGAGAGATTCAGTGATATCAGTAATCAAGTAGTATCAATAATTTTCCTTGCTCAGGAAGTAAAGAACAAGTTTTTGTTAGTGCCTACTGGTGATGGTTAAAAACTGAATAACAATTTTTGTCTTGCATTAGGTATGTATTTTACTCGGGATCTGAAAAGAGAAGGATTTTGTCCAGTCACAAACCTGGGTAGAGGAGAAGGGTTGAGCCTCACAGTGGATACCACCGCAAGCTAATAAAACACCTGCTGGGACTGGGTTAACAGACCTGTAAGTAGCTGCAGCCTCTCACGACCAAGGTCATTCCCATCAGTTTGTACCAGTGACACACACACTGAGTGGTACCTTTGAAGTTTTCAGATCAATTGTTTCCACGGGCAACAGTGCAGACTTAGAGCTGATTGTTAATGGGGCTTCCTAAAGGTCAGCTCAAAATAGAAGAAACCCAAGGCATTTCGTTTCTGGGATATTACTGAATTCCTTGACTGATTAAATTCTGTTTTCAGCAATATGACTCACGATACCACTAGTACCTTCAAGCCCTGTTCCAGTTCCACTGGGTGGGACAGCTGTGGCAAGTCTGCAGCCATACACTTTTGGAATCACGTGTTTCGGGGTGTCTTTTTACTGACCAGCTAATACAGAAGTTCAGAGGAAGCAACTCACGTGAGAGTCACAAAAATGGACATATACCTGACAATACTAGTAGCATCTGACACCAGGTAACGTAGCCAGATAAGTGTGACACGCCCTTAATGTACCTCTCAGCATCCAACCTTCCCTCTTTGCTAATGAGTCAAATGATGGGTGGAGGAAGCCTGACAGTGTACCCGCATAATTAATCGCTTTCCCAACTTTTTTGTGGGTACGGTAGGACTTGTTAACGCAGTCAGGGCAGTGACAGGTAAGGAGAAATCTGCTGGGAGGTTTCTGGGAAAGCTTTTCCTTTTCTGATGAAAGAAAGGCAGCAAATCCAGAGCTTCTCGCTCTGATGGTGACCCCATATCCATTCTCTTGGGGATATACATTTGTGCTGTGTCTAGGTTTTGACTGTTAATAAACAAAGCTGTTATGAACATTATTGGGAAAATCTTTGTAAATAGATGTTTCCCTTTCCCTTGGGGAGATAATTAGGAGCAGAATTGTTGGGTCACAGATTAGGTTTATGATCCATTTCCTCAATAATGTACGAGCATTCCAGTTGCTCCAGATCCTCACCGGTATTTAAGCTTGTAAACCTTTTAAGATTTAGCCATCTGGAAGGCAATGGTGTCTTATTGTGATTTAAATTTGCATTTCCCTGATGAGTCATGGTGATGAGCACTTTTTCATGAGTTTATTGGCCATTTGGTATCTTTTTTGTTGTTGTTGTGAAGATGGCAATAACCACAAGATGGGAACAGCCAGAATTCTGTCGTCAGTGCTCAGAGAACCATCTGACCAGCACAGGCTGCAATGAGAGTGAGAAATAAACTTCAGTTTTGCTAATCTACTGCAATTCTGTTTCATATGTTTTGAAAGTTGAATTGTATATTAACATAAATTACACCTCAATAAACCTAATTAAAAAAAATAAAAAGAATGGTGGAGTAGAGGTGCATCCCAAGAAGACAGGAATGCTCAGCCAACCTGGAACTCCAAGCGTGGCTCCCACGTGGACAGGGCTTCTGGGTCCTGACCTGTGGGGATTTACTCCTACGCCCCACTTTTATTAACTAAATGGTGATTCTTGCTAGAATGTTCGACGTGCTAGAATGAATTTAGGTTTGTGAGGAGAAACTGAACTACAGACATGCAGATGGGCCGGAATGACATAACACCGTCAAAAACCCCAGCTCTCCTCTGTTAAACCAAGAGACTTGGTCTCAGACCTCAGAACCCTGCAGGGCACATTGCCCAGAAGGGCTGATTCTAGACTTGACCTGGCTGCCAGCAGAACTCAGTTGAGATCTTCGGGAAGTGGGCTAGGCAGAAGTATCTCAACCCTTCTGAACTGTCCTCAGCTGAACTTTCCTCCACTCCCCAAGGTCTGCTAAGCTCTATTTGAAGAGCTTTCAATTTAAAGAAGTGAAGAGTGTGGGAGGGGTAAATTAGGAGTGTGGGATTAACAAATATACACTAAACAGATACACACAAAATAATCAATGACGATTTACTGTATAGCACAGGGAAGTATATTCAATATCCTTTAATAACCTATAATGGAAAAGAATGAAAAAAAGAGAAAAAATGTATACATGGAACAGAGTCACTGTGTTGTACACCTGAAACTCACGCAATATCATAAATCAACTGAAATCCAATAAAAAATACTGCTTAAGGACGTAGAGAGGCAGCAAACACATGCAGCTGAAAAGGAAAAAACATCTTCTCCAGGGCTAAGCCAAGTCCTGGGGTTAGAACTTGTTAGTGGAGCCCACCTGCTAGCCTTTTAAATAGATAAAAGACTATTCAGTCAGCCACCATGACAAACTACTCCATCCCCCTCCACCATTCTCCCTCACCCCGCTCCCCGCCTCACCCCCAAAACCCTACCATTAAATAGGCCCTTTTCAGACGGGAATTCAATTCAAGCACAGTCATTAGGAAAACCCTGCCCTGTCTCTGTGGTTACTGACAACTCCCTTTGTGTAAATCTCATTAAATCAAACCAGGGACTCCCAGTTTTTTATGGCAAATCCTAGGAAGAGAAAGGGATGTTGATTTTAGAAATAATGTTGCAAATCTCAGGTGTGAGACCTTTTCGGATTGGAAAGTAATATTATTTATCTCCCTGAAACCACTAATAAATCATCCATGAAAAACTGATAATGGTTTTTGTCACCAAGCGCCCTTTTTCTACTGTGGTAGAGTTCTTTGTGTTTCTCCTTTCCACAACAGAAGGCGTTCTTTGACAAGCTATCTTATTTTCATGTCTTTATGAAGACAAATGAAATTACTAAAAGTATTGAAGACTATTTTCAATTCATTTTCATCCCATACATTTTTGGTACTTAGGAGCAATTTGCTTCTCATTTGAAAAGAAAAATGTTTCTTATTCAAAGCATAAGCAACAGTGGGTGTCCCTTATGCTCTAAAAGGCTTGAAATGTAAAATGGTTCTCATATAAAACTGGAGACAACAGAAAGACTGCCCTATGACAGAGCAGTATACAATATAGAATACTTACACATTTAACAACTTCTGCGCCAAGAGGTTGTGTTACCTGCCATTATCCCCCCCCCTTTAATTTTGTTATTTCTATTTTAGAATTTCCAAAGTCCTTAACTTTAAAAACAGTCTTCTTCTCACATGTCTTTTTCTGTCAAAGGATATGTCTAGCTTGAAGTGAAGTCACTCAGTCTTTGGGACCCCGTGGACTGTAGCCCACCAGGCTTCTCCGTCCATGGGATTCTCCAGGCAAGAATACTGGAGTGGATTGCCATTTGCTGCTCCAGGGGATCTTCCCGACCCAGGGATCGAACCCAGGTCTCCCTCATTGCAAGCAGAGGCTTTAACTTCTGAGCCGCCAGGGAAGCCCATATATGGCTTAGACATTTCCTTACCATCAAATGCACAAATAGTCCATACTGGGCCCTATCCTGGGTACCACCCGGAAAACGCTGTGATGAGACCCGCCCTGTGGGCTTTGGTTTGGATGTGCCTTTCTCTGCTGAAGGGAGGCTCTTCCCTGCCACTGCGCCAAGTCCTAGTGACAAGCTCCTTGGGGGGCTTCACTGAAAGGATTAGCTTCCACCCACTCCTCAGTCTTAAAGACATCTTGCTCATGCTCCGCCTTGCTTGAATTCAGGGCAGATCTCCTGACTTTGACCCTGGTTGCTGCAATCAATGGCAGATGGTCAAGATAGGAGAGACTAACTGGGATGCGGATGAAAGTTCATGAGGCGCACTCTCCAGGCACAGAGCTGGGACACAGGCTCCGAAGGCCACACTCAGCCCCCAGCCGCCTCCTTTCATCTCCAGGCACCCCGGGTGCTGGCTGCCCGCCTCCCGCCCCAAGGTGGTGCTAGTTTTCCCCCTTGTACTTCTGTGCGCCTGTGTCATCCAGTCGGTTACTGTATAGCGTTGCTTCCTTTGTCTTTATCCTGCACCGACTGTAGCTCTTCTTCTTCTTAGTGGTCCTCCAGCCCCGACCCACCGCACTGCCCAGGATGTGCTTTCATAAACGTGACCAGAATCTCTTCTTTTTCATGACAGGTAGTATCAACGGAACATCCACACCTGAGAACTAGAGCTGTTGGAACTCAAGTCAGACATCCTCTATAGCAAGAGGATAACCTGGTAGAATAATCTTCCAGACAGAGATAAATAAAGAGAGATCTCAATCAGAACTAAAAATATCTTTACCTTGAAGGAGAGAGTAAAGACCTAGGAAGGCCTTCTGGGGTTTAAGAGTGGAGGAAGGAATGTTAGACAAAAGGAGGGGGAGGGGAGGGCGGCGGGAAGAGGATTAGGGAGGCACACCCTCTGGTGAAATTACACCGTGATTAGCGCTGCCAGATGAATATTTATGAGGGCGGCGCTGATTGTATTACGAGGGCATCATTTGAATAATCATGAATATGTTTCCATGCATTTGGACCTAATGGGACGGTTTTCAGTCTTTAATAAGGCATTGGCGCGTGTTTGCAGAGGGGGCGGGGGTGGGCAGGGGAGGAACAGGGAGGCCAGCAAGGAGGTCCTGATGTTAGTCTCCTGTGTTAGTCGCTCAGTTGTGTCCGATTTTTTTGCGACCCCACGGGCTGTCACCCGTCAGGTTCCTCTGTCCATGGAATTCTCCATGCAATACTGGAGTAGGTTGCCACTTCCTTCTCCATTTTCTTCTACAGTAGCCTAGGTGGAGGATGAAGGAAGACAGGACCAGGGTGGGGGCTGAGAATGGGACGCAGAGTGAGCAGAACAGAAAGTGGGTGGGGTCAGGAAGATTTGCTAATGGACAAGGCATGGGGGAGAGAGAAAGAGACAGAGGTGAACCCCCAGGGGCAGTGGAGGTTCTCTTCTCTAGTGGAGAGAAACGAGATCGAGACCAGCACACAAACCAGAAACACGGGCTGGAGGAGACAGGGACATAGATTCAGAGCTGCAGCAGCAGGCAGTCACGTGGCAGATGCAGAAGGACCCCACCGAGAGACGCCAGGGGAGGCTCATACGGGCTGCCCCTGCTCACCTGCCTCCTCCCGCCAGGTGATCGACTTTGGCTCGGCCAGCATATTCAGCGAGGTGCGTTACGTCAAGGAACCCTACATCCAGTCCCGCTTCTACCGGGCCCCCGAGATTCTGCTGGGGCTGCCCTTCTGCGAGAAGGTGGACATGTGGTCCCTGGGCTGCATCATGGCTGAGCTGCACCTGGGCTGGCCCCTCTACCCAGGCAACAACGAGTATGACCAGGTGCGTTACATCTGTGAGACGCAGGGCCTGCCCAAGCCCCACCTGCTGCATGCCGCCCGCAAGGCCCACCACTTCTTCAAGCGCAACCCGCACCCCGACGCCGCCAACCCCTGGCAGTTGAAATCCTCAGCTGACTACCTGGCTGAGACCAAGGTAGGGGGGGCAGGTGGGGACGAGGGCAGTCAGTGTGGAGGGGGGGCTGCTGCACCCAGAAGGAAAAAAAATCTAGATTAGATCTCAGAGAGGACTGGAAGCTTGGGAGTTGTTACAGCAAGATGGATCTGAGTGAGACCCCGGGTGGGACTGGAAGTCAGGGCAGCCACCTCTGCAGCTAGGCTCTTCAGAGTTGTGAGGCAATAGTCTGGATGAGACAGCAGAGAGGACTGGAAGTCTGGGCCAGGCGTGGGAGCTGTCACAGCAAGAGAGGGGCCTGGGTGAGACCAAAGGTGGGACTGAAGTACCCGGCAGACCTTAATAACCCCTGGGAGAATGGTCTGGGCTTGACTCGTTGGAGGCCTGAGGGCTGGGATCAGACGTGGAGATCTGCTGTGGCAGCCAGAGGGGTCAGCATTTGATTCCAAAGGAGGCAGCCCTTCTGCTCGCTGCTGGCAGGAGCTGCACCCATGACTCAGGGAAGGACTGGAGGGCTGGGGTGAGAGCCAGCTCGGGTCAGTGAGAGTCCTGGGTTAAACAGGAGGACCAGAGGTCATGGTCAGCAGGCGGGATCTGGATGAGATTCGAAGGGGCCTCATGGTAGGGAGCAGGTGTGACCTTCCCAGCAGTAAAGAGCACCAGGTCAAATCCTGGGCAGGACTGGAAGTCAGGGTTCCCGTGTGCAGACTTCATAGCCACGAGGGAGCTCTGGGCCAGACTGGAGGGCTGACTGGAAACTAGGGTGGGGGGTCCGATGTGGGCCCCACAGCAGGAGTGGCTGGGGCCAGAACTCCATGCCCACCCTGCCCCACCCTGTGTCCACCAGGTGCGCCCACTGGAGCGCCGTAAGTACATGCTTAAGTCGCTGGACCAGATTGAGACGGTGAACGGTGTCGGGGTGGCCAGTCGGCTGACCTTCCCGGACCGAGAGGTGCTGGCGGAGCACACCGATCTCAAGAGCATGGTGGAGCTGATCAAGCGCATGCTGACCTGGGAGTCGCATGAACGGATCAGCCCCAGCGCCGCCCTGTGCCACCCCTTTGTGTCCATGCAGCAGCTGCGCAGTGCCCACGAGACCACCCGCTATTACCAGCTCTCTCTGCGCAGCTGCCGCTTGTCCCTGCAGGTGGAGGGAAAGGCACCCACGTCGGTCTTGGCCGCCGCGGAAGACGGGCCCCCCTACTACCGTCTGGCCGAGGAGGAGGCGGCCATGGGCCTGGGCAGCACAGGGGGCAGTGGGCCCTTCTTCCGAGAGGAGAAGGCCCCCGGCATGCAGAGGGCCATCGATCAGCTGGACGACCTGAGCCTGCAGGAGGCGGGGCGTGGGCTCTGGGGCGAGACCCGGGCCGACGTGATCCCCGACGCGCTGGCCCCGCTCAAGGCTGCCGCCGTGGGCCGCCGGCTGCCCGAGTCCAGCCCCGAGCCCATTCTGGCCTTCTACGGCAGCCGCCTGGTGGGCCGCCACAAGATCCGCAAACCACCTGCAGGCTCCAAGTCTGACTCCAACTTCAGCAACCTGATCCGGCTGAGCCAGGCCTCACCTGAGGATGACACCCCACACAGGGCCAGTGGCTGGGCGGAAGGAGAGCGCCTTGGGGCCTCTGCTGAGCCGCCTGTCATCCCGCAGCGCGACGGGGATGGGCCAGACATCAAAGACATGACCATGGATGCTGAGGTGAGCTGGGGGGTGGGTGGGGGGCGGCCAGGGTGCAGGTGGTCCTGGGGTTGGGGCACAGGGAACCAGCCTGGCCTCCCACACATCTAAGTGGCCTGTAGTTGGCTCAGGATCCAGCACACACTACTAGCCCACCCTCGGGATGTGATGAGGCTCAGCAAACACTAGGACACTCATGTGACAAGGTTCAGCAAACACGAACCCATATTCAGGCCGTGTAAAGACTCAGAACATCATAATCCACATGTGGGAACTGATAAAGGCCCAGGACCCTGAACAAGACCGTAGTGCAGCTCACCCACCCGCAGAAAGATGGAACAGAGGCTCAGCAAACACTCCTTCAGGACACATTAAGGTCTCAGCAAACACTCCTTCAGGACACATTAAGGTCTCAGCACACACCATTTAAGCCTCCAAAATGTCGAGAGGGTTCAGAATGTACAAAATTGTCCTCAGGAAGTCACAAGGAAGCAGTTGGGACCAAAGGAGTCCACGAGCGGGCAGGCTGGCTGTTTCCAGGGCGGAGGTGGGACATGGGAGGGGGCTTCCTGGGTGATGCCCATCTCTGCTCCTCCCCGACAGAGTCCAGGCCCTGAGCTCTTCGACCCCAACAGCTGTCCTGGGGAATGGCTGAGTGAGCCAGACTGGACCCTGGAGGGCCTCAGGGGGCCGCGGGCTCAGGGGCTCCCCCCACGCCACACCCACCCACATGGTCCACCCCGGGCCACCAGCTTTCTGCAGCACGTTGGCGGGCACCACTGATGGGTGACCCCACCCCTGCCCATCGCTGGGGGCTGCGCTGATGGGGCTGGCAACCCCCTCCTCAGAGCCATCCCCTGAACCGACAGATTATTCTTATAGAAAGATAGTTATCCAGAAATTCCCCATTCCCTCCCCCTCTGCCCACGGTGCATGTCTGCATACACACCCCAAACAGAAGGGTTTGTGGCCTCCTGGGCCAGAGGGATGCAAGAAGGGGGGGCTGCACCCCACTGGCCCTGAGCATGCCCTTGGCCCTACTGCCTCTGTTTATTTCAATAAAGAACTGTTCAGCAGTACCGCCCCATGCCTGTGCTCCTTGCCTGAGGCCTGAACTGGCACGGGGGGCAAGGTGCAGGGGACCCAGGCTCTGCTCTCCAGTGCTGCACCCAGTCCACCCACACCACCCGAGCTGCAGGCTCGGACTGCAGCCTGTGCTCGGCACACTGCCCCCTCCCTTAAACACGCTCAGCACCTGGCATGCAAGAATTCACCATCAGAACATGCTCAGCGTTCAGTAGGTGCCGATCTGAGCTGGCCAGATGCTCAGTTCTCATTGCCTATTGACCTGTCCTTGCCACAGGTGACAGGCTTGGCATGCACGTATCCATGCTCGGGACATGCGAAGTATTAAGTTCACGCTCGGTATCCAGGCCAGTGTCCAGACGTGCGAGTCCACCCTCACGGACAGGGCAGTGGCTTGGCACGTGCTCATGGGGCTCGGGTCACGCTGAGTGTGCAGCACACGTGGCCCCATGCTGGCTCCAGGAGGCTCTGTTCATGCCTGCCCACGAGGTCACACACCCATGCTCAGCACACACCAGCTCGCGTGCATCATACGCCGAGCGTTCAGCACACGCTGGCCCATGCTGGTCACCCACTGAGGGCTCAGCACACCCCAGACACGTGCTGAGCATCCAGTGCACACCAAACCACACTGGCCACATGCCGAGGGCCCAGGACCCACAAAGATGTCCCCCCAGAGGCTCATGCCAGCTGCCCCTACCCGACACCCCACCTCACACCACTCAGTCAGGCACAGGCTGTACAGACAAGTTATTTACTTCTTATTATGACCTTGGGCCCTCTTTGCCCTGGGAAGTGGGGTGGGCCAGGGGGGCTGGGCCCAGCATGCACCCCCACTTCTCCTTTGGGGGCTGAGCCCTCCTGCAGCTCAGCTGGGTCCTCTGGGGCCACAGCATCAGGCCAGTGGGGGCGGAGGTAGAGATGGGAGGCCGGGGTCGGGGTGGTTGCAAAGGGGAGCCTGTTGGAGCCACAGTGGGTCAGACAGAAGCGGGGGGGCACGGGGACAGGGGATGGAGACCCGGAACACCTGAGCCTGCAGGGGCCTTGCAGGCCTGGCCTGGCCATCGGACCGGGCCTCAGAGCAGGCGACAGGCGTTGCCCACACTGTCGGCGGCAGCGTCAAGGTCATGGCTGTAAGGGGAGTCCCAGTCCCTCAGGAACACGGCCTCCAGCTGGCTCCGCAGGCCACCCCGCCCGTTCTGCGTCACCAGCAGCGAGGTGCCCGCCGTCTCGGTGAAGTAGCTACCAGACCAGTTGGAGGTTCCTATGGGGAGTGGGGGGTCCAGAGAGTCAGGGCCCAGGGCAGCACCTGGACCCCCTTCCGACCCCTTCACCCTGCCCCCTGATCATGGTGCTCCTGGAACACTCACCGATGTAGGTGGCCCGTTCGGTCACCATGTACTTGTTGTGGTTGACGCGGGCATAAGGGATTCGGGCCTGGGCATCGTCCGCAGGGACCACAAAGAGTTTCTGAGAGGGGTGGGGAGATGCAGGGTGAGGACAGAGAAGCCCCTGGGTTGGGGGTGGGGAGTGGAACCAGGTCTTTGAGATTGGGGACCCTGGGGATCAGAACAGGGCCCAGAGAAGTGCACGTGTGCGTGCAAAGTCGTTTCAGTCGTGTCCAACTCTTTGCAACCCTATGGACCATAGACCACCAGGCTCCTCTGTCCTTGGGATTCTCTAGGCAAGAATACTAGAGTAGGTTGCCATGCCCTCCTCCAGGGCATCTTCCCAACCCAGAGATCGAACCCATGTCTCTTATGTCTCCTGCATTGGCAGGTGGGTTCTTTACCACTAGCACAGTATGCGAAGCCCTTCAGAGGAGTGGGTCCTCTAAAGACTGGCTCACACACCACCTGTTCCCTCTAGTGTTAAAAGTGTTAGTCACTCAGTTGTGTGTGACTCTTTGCAACCCCATGAACTGTTGCCCACCAGGCTCCTCTGTCCATGGAATATTCCAGGCAAGAATACTGGAGTGAAAAAAAAAAGATACTGGAGTGGGTTGCCATTTCCTCCTCCAGGGGAATCTTTCTGACCCAGGGATCGAATTGGGTCTCTTGCACTCCAGGCAGATTATTCACCATCATCCCTGAGGTCTTACCTCAGATGTCCCCCTTTCCTGAAAGTCTTCTGTGACCCTTCAGGCTGTAGCAGGAGCTTCCTCAGGGCTCCCTCATCCTGGCCCTGACCCCTCTGCCCACGCCCTTGATTCCAACCCTGACCTGTGGTCACCCCTCCTCCGCCCCAATCAGGGCACAGCCCGCTCTGGGTCATCCATCAGATGACAGGTGAGCACCACAGGAGCTGTGTCCCCGCACTGCCCTGCACAGGAGTTGAGGGGCGGGTCTCGGCAGGTGCTTACCACCTGGATGTCGGAGTGGGTATGATTGTCACGCAGGGTAGCCAGGGAGAGCAGGAAGGCCCGCATCGAGGGGTCAGAGTGTCCCCAGCAGCTGATCAGCAGGCGTACCTTGACGCCCCGCTCATAGGCAGCCCGCCGCAGCCCGTCGTCAATGGCAGGCCAGAACCTGGGGGTGGGGGGTGCAGGGTATGGAGGGAGGCCTCCCCTCACCTTTAGGGCGCCAGGCCTGGGTCCCGCTGCAGTTTCAGAGAGCCCCCATTTCCCAAGATCACCACATCTCTGGCTCCCGCTCCTGCCCACCCCCACCCAATCCACACATTGTCTTGTCTGCGGCCCCCAGACTACCTGCTCTGAGCGCCCAGATCCAATCATCCCCCCTTCCTATCCAAGATCTCAAACCCCAACTGTGCCACCCCAAACCTGAATATGCTCAGTTCCACCTCTCAAGCCCCTCACCCCATATCCCGCCCACACTCCCTGCTTCCTACCTCCAGAAACCCCACATCCTCTGCCTCAAGCCTCCAGTCCCCCCATCTCCATACTCCTTTCCCAATATTCACTTCCTTTTCTCTGTCCCCCTTCCCTTGTCTCGAGCATCCAGACCACTCTCCCTGTCACCTCTGTCTCGCCCGGTGGCATCCCCTCTCTCTGTCCCCTGGCCTTGGCCCCCTGCCTGCTTTCTGGGCCCCATCACTCCCTCTCCCATCTCCTCTTTTACTCGAGTGGCTTCCGGCCCTGAGCCCTGTCCACGTGCCCAGCAGTACCGGCGTGGGTGGGAGAACTCCATGGTGGGCAGGTAGTTCATGACCGCGATGTAGATGAAACTCCGGGCGTTGTCCACCACGTTGAGCAGGGCCTTCAAGTCTGGGGTGCGGCCACTTGGACACAGCGGTGGGGGTGCACTCTGGGGGGAGAAGGGGACAGTCAAGACACATCCTTCACAGTGGCCCCCAGCTGCGGACAGCCCGTCAGGAGTCAGGTCCCTGTGTATCTCACTGAATGCTCAGCCTCCGTGAAGGGGAGAGAGAATGACCACATCCCAGCTCACAGGTGAGCAAATAGATGCTCAGAGAGGATAAGTGATTTGCCTAAGGCCACAGAGCTGAGGAACAGAGCCAGGGTTTGAACCTAGGCAGTGTGGTTCTAGAACTTAAGCTCTAACCCTGTGGTTCTTCACATGAGGTGCCTGGTCACGCAGCAGCAGCATCACCTGGCAACTTGGTAGAAATGCAAATTCCTGGGCCTCACGGCACAGGGCACACAGCATCAAGCTGTTAGGATGGAGCCCAGGGATCTGGTTTTAACAAGCCCTTCTGGTAATTCTAGTGCATGCTCAGGCTTGAGGACCTCTGCTTTAATCGCTTAAAATTTTTTTTTATTAGCGTATAGTTGCTTTACACTGTTGTACCAGTTTCTTCTGCTGCTGCTGCTGCGGCTGTTTAGTTGCTAAGTCGTGTCCGACTCTTTTTGTGATCCCATGGACTGTAGCCCGCCAGGCTCTTCTGTCCATGGAGATTCTCCAGGCAAGAGGACTGGAGTGGGTTGCCATGCCCTCCTCCAGGAGATCTTCCCAACCCAGGGATGGAAACTGCATCTCCTGCATTGGCAGGTAGATTCTTTACCAGCTGAACCACCAGTGAAGCCCTCTAATCACTTTTGTCCCTGACTGGCTCACAGCCCACCTCCATGGCATTCCTCATGTTCCCACCCACCCCAGGAGCTTCACCACCCAGCTCCCTCCACCCTCCCAACAGGTGAGCAAACTTAAGTTCTGAAAGGGGAAGCGGTGATGAGGGAAACTTTACTCCCCAGTGGGAGGTCACTGGAGCAAAGGACCCCAGTGAGTTATGTCCCTTCATCCATGCCTTAGTGTGGCACTTCATGATGACGCTGGGCCTGGCCAGGTGACTTGCTTGGGGGGTCCCAGGTTGGCCACCCCAACTAGTGAAAACATCAACAGCTGAAAACAGCAGTGCCTTGTCGGGAGTGGGTACAGTCCAACAGAACATTCCACAGAGATGAAAATGTTCTGTATCTACACTGTTCAATATGGCAACCACTTGCTAGGTGTGGCTGCTGAGCCCTTGAAAGGGGGCTAGTGTGACTGAAGAACTGACTTTTTAACTGCATTTCATCTTAATTGATTAAAAATGTGACACTCGGCCATAGTGGACAGTTCAACCAGGGACTGGCCTCAATGAACCCAGCCGTGCCGCCTCATTAGCCCTGCTGCAGCTGCCGCTAAGTTGCTTCAGTCGTGTCTGACTCTGTGCGACCCCATAGACGGGGACCCACCAGGCTTCCCCATCCCTGGGATTCTCCAGGCAAGAATACTGGAGTGGATTGCCATTTCCTTCTCCAATGCATTAGCCCTAAGAGATTGCAAATATTATGATGCAATCATAAGATTTCTAGATGAAACCAAAGTCTAGGGAGGTTGGGACATGGCCCAGGCCCCTGAGTGAGCAGAAGTGACAGCCAGTGGTCAGGATTCCCTCATCCCCATCAAATCACTGGGCAGGGGTGCATGGAGGAGGCCCAGGGAGGGCATGTGGCAGGCCCCTCTTTCCTTGGACTCACCGCCAGGTAGGCCAGAGCAGGGGTTCCATTGAGGCAGATTTCCATTGGAGTCTCTTGATTGTAGCGGGTGTCATAAGGCCGGGGCCAGGTTGACGGGATGGAGCTGCCCGCCTGGCCCAGGAACCAGTAGGCTTCGAAGATCTTGGTCAGGTCTCGAGCTAGGCAGCTGCAGTTGTACATGACCACGCCCAGCTCCTTGACCTGCGGGAGCACAGTGCTGAGCCCCAGGGTGGTGGCCTGGTGCCGGCAGGTGACATGGACCCCTGCAGCCCCTCCTCCTGCCTCCAACAAGTCCTCCTTCCTGCCCTTTGCCCTTCTGTCTCCCTCTCTTTCTGCCCCTACCTCCCCCCTCTTTCTGCCCCTTAGCCCCAGTCCTCCTTCCCCCAGCTAAAGCCCTGAGATGGACATGATCTTGACTCAAGACTAAAATCTGAAGTTTTGGCGAAAGTCAGTTACTCCAAAGCTCCGGTTTCCTGAACCTTTGCGGCTTCTACCTTCTACTGAGCTCCTGCTCAGTCTTAGGTCTCCACTGAGGGTTTCCTCCTCCAGGAATCCTGCCTTGACTGCCCAGCCTGTGTCAAGCATTCCTTAGGCTCTCAAGGTCCCTTGGGCCTCCCTCATCACTTTCCCTGGTGACAAACCTGTCTCCCCATTGGACTGGGAGGACTTGCACGAGGGATGTCTGTGTTTTTCCACAGAGTCGGTGGGATTAGGGGCTTCAGCCTAGTCACTCAGTTGTGTCCAACTCTTTGCAACCCCATGGACTGTAGCCCACCAGGCTCCTCTGTCCATGGGGACTCTACAGGCAAGTGGGTTGCCATGTCCTCCTCCAGGGGATCTTCCCAACACAGGAATTAAACCTCGGTCTCCTGCATTGCAGGAAGATTCTTTACTGACTTAGCCACCAGGGAAGCCCAAGAATACTGGTGTTTGGAGCCTCTCCCTTCTCCAGGGGATCTTTCCAACTCAGGAATCGAACCGGGGTCTCCTGCATTGCAGGCAGATTCTTTAGCAGCTGAGTTACCAGTGAAGCCCAATTAGGGGCTTGCACAATATCTATTTGTTGAAGACATGATCACTGCCTCAGCTGTACCCCTTTCCCATCTCATGTTCATTCCTGCAGCTCCTCCAGGTAGCAGATTAACTGTCACCTCCTTTGGGAGATTTTCCTTGATACCCCAGGTTGGGTCCCCCATCCTGACCATCTACTTGTGTTTCTCCCCATCTCCCATCTCAGCCTTGACCCTTTTGGGTTGACACTGCCTGGTGACAGGCCCATCTCCGCCCTGGACCACGAGTTCCAAGAGGTCTACCTGTTGCCATCACGTTCTCAGCATCAGAACAGGGCTGGGCTTAGAGCAGGCTCTCAGGAAGTGAGTAGTGAAGGTCAAGTGGGTGGACAGGGCCTTGGATGCCGTATAAAGGGGCTTCCATGAGCAAGGGGAGGGTGATGGAGGGCTGGATTGGGGGATGCTTCTGGAGGTCTGGTAGCAGGAGGTGGGGGTACGGTTGGAGGCTGGGTGCCCCGTGAGGCAGGGAGTGACCTAGAAGGGCAGTGGGCAGGGCGCAGGCAGACCTGGGTCAGGGAGCGCCAATCCATGTTGGCACTGCCAAGGTAGAAGTGAGTCTGGTCCACCACCCAGAACTTGGTGTGCAGGACACCATGGGTCAGCTTCTGCATGTCCACCATGCGGACCTGGGCACCTGTACCGACAGAGGTGGAGGTCAGGAGCTGGCTTGGGGAGCCCCAGACCCAGCCCACCCCCAGTGGCCCCCTAGCTCACCACTTTGCAGCAGGGCCTGCAGGTCTGCCTGGGGCTGGGGCCCATTGGGCTTGCTCACAGCAATGCGGACCTTCACACCTCGGGGTGCCAGAGTCTGCAGCTGCCGGAGGACCTCCTCACCCTGGAGGGAGGAGACAGCTTTGAGGGGATGGATCAGCTGGTTCTTGAGCCCCACGGAGCACCCCATGGAATTGTTTTGAGATTAGGCTTCTAGATCTGATCAGGCTTTACATTAATACAGTTAGGAAAGGCTTTACAGGTTAAGAAGTTAAAACCTTAATTTATCTGTTTTATTTTTTTGGCTGTGCTGTGGGGCATGAGGGAGCTTAGTTCCCCAACCAGGGATCAAACCCATGCCCCCTATATTCAGAACATGGAGTCTTAACCACTGGACCAACAGGGAAGTCTCTTTATACTTTGGGAGATTTTCCTTGATACCCCAGGTTGGGTCCCCCATCCTGACCATCTACTTGTGTTTCTCCCCATCTCCCATCTCAGCCTTGACCCTTTTGGGTTGACACTGCCTGGTGACAGGCCCATCTCCGCCCTGGACCACGAGTTCCAAGAGGTCTACCTGTTGCCATCACGTTCTCAGCATCAGAACAGGGCTGGGCTTAGAGCAGGCTCTCAGGAAGTGAGTAGTGAAGGTCAAGTGGGTGGACAGGGCCTTGGATGCCGTATAAAGGGGCTTCCATGAGCAAGGGGAGGGTGATGGAGGGCTGGATTGGGGGATGCTTCTGGAGGTCTGGTAGCAGGAGGTGGGGGTACGGTTGGAGGCTGGGTGCCCCGTGAGGCAGGGAGTGACCTAGAAGGGCAGTGGGCAGGGCGCAGGCAGACCTGGGTCAGGGAGCGCCAATCCATGTTGGCACTGCCAAGGTAGAAGTGAGTCTGGTCCACCACCCAGAACTTGGTGTGCAGGACACCATGGGTCAGCTTCTGCATGTCCACCATGCGGACCTGGGCACCTGTACCGACAGAGGTGGAGGTCAGGAGCTGGCTTGGGGAGCCCCAGACCCAGCCCACCCCCAGTGGCCCCCTAGCTCACCACTTTGCAGCAGGGCCTGCAGGTCTGCCTGGGGCTGGGGCCCATTGGGCTTGCTCACAGCAATGCGGACCTTCACACCTCGGGGTGCCAGAGTCTGCAGCTGCCGGAGGACCTCCTCACCCTGGAGGGAGGAGACAGCTTTGAGGGGATGGATCAGCTGGTTCTTGAGCCCCACGGAGCACCCCATGGAATTGTTTTGAGATTAGGCTTCTAGATCTGATCAGGCTTTACATTAATACAGTTAGGAAAGGCTTTACAGGTTAAGAAGTTAAAACCTTAATTTATCTGTTTTATTTTTTTGGCTGTGCTGTGGGGCATGAGGGAGCTTAGTTCCCCAACCAGGGATCAAACCCATGCCCCCTATATTCAGAACATGGAGTCTTAACCACTGGACCAACAGGGAAGTCTCTTTATCTATTTTAATACTTCGCTGCTCTGAGCCCTGTTAGGGTCTCCCTGCCACTCCTGCTCTTCACAGGTCCTTCCCAAGACCCTGACCTGTCTGACACAGCAGGGGTCTCTAGGCACCTTGCAGGATGTTGAAGGCACAGCACAGACTTGGGAGTCTGGGAAGACCGGAGTAAGGCTTGATGATGCCAATAACAGTAAGAGTAACAGCCAGTGATTCCCTTGTTTCTACTGTGAGCCAGGCCCCTTCTAAGCCCCTTTACACCCAAACTCTGAATTCTCACAGCTGTTATTGATAAGGCAAGTCTGAGTTTATCCCCAAGTGCAGATGAAGAAATTGAGTGTTTTAGAAATCAACAGGAAAGCAGGATTTGAACTCAGACCGTCTGCCTTCTATGTCTGTGCTTTGTGCTTTGAATCACTCCAGTAGGAACCAGCAGGGCATGGAAGCTCGTACCTTTTTTTTTAAGGTTGAAGGATCTTAGTTCCTTGATAAGGGATCGAACCCGCACCTTGGCAGTGAACGCTTGGAGTCCTAACCACTGGACGACCAGGGAATTTCCAGCTCATATAATTTTTAACTGTTGTGCATTTTTTCCAGGCACTGTTTAATGATCCCCACAACTTTAATACATTTAAAGTGCAGCAGGGAAAAGAAGAGGGACAAATTCACTACGTCTTTCAAAGAAGGGCTTAGCCACCTAGGCTGTTCCTTTTCAAATCTTGAAGTTTTATGCTTTTTAAGTTTGTCTGCAGACCCTAACAAGGCTATCATAGTAAATGCTTAAAAAGGGCTGACTCTTGTCAGGTACTGCTGTCATTGGCTGGGATCAGCCCATTTCATCTTCATAACAGGTGAACTCTAGATAATGGCCCCATTCTACAGATGAAGAAACGGAAGACTGCGAGATGAGGTGACCTGCCTGAGGTCACAGAGCTGGGAAGCAGAAGCCTGGCTTGAGGCTGGGCTGGTACTCATTCCATGTTTCCATTTCTTTGTGTGACAGGCTCAGGGCAGCTTGTGGATAAGCTGTATCTGCTAGCCTAATCCCTCGTAATGAAACCCATGCCCTGACATTCAGAGGCCTCCAGATGACCATGACAAAACGCCCCCAGTCCAGCGGGCCATGTGAAGACAGTTGCTTCCAAACACTTTTGTCCAACCCACTACATGAGACATGCCAGTCTGTCTCCTGGGCTGGAGGGAAACCCCTTTCATCTCCCTGTCTCTGATGCCTCCCACCACCCCTGCTGCCAGCCAGGGCCCAGGTTGCCAGGTACCTGCTGAGCAGAGGGTTCCTGAGTGTGGGTGTCATTGTTGGTGAGAGTCCAGTAGAAGGAGGCAATGTCCAGGCTGCTGTGGGCACCAGCGAGCAGGCCCAGCCAGGCCTGGCTGGTGGACGGGTTGCTCGTGGAGGCATTGGGAAAGTCCAGGCCCTCGGGAATGCTCTCTACCAGCACTGCTCTGGGTGGGGAGGCAGGGAGGGAGGGAGGCAGAATCAGCTATGGTGGGCTAGACTGTGAGTGCTCACTTGTCTGCCCACGGAGGATGGAAGACTATATGTATTCGTGTGTGTCTGCATTTGTCTCTCTAGATTTGTGGAAGGTTGTGTGTGTGTGTGTCTGTCCATGGATGTGGATGGAAGATGCCATGTGTGTCTATGTGTGCCCGTCTGTTCTCAGAGGCATAGAAGATGACGCTGTGGTTGCCATGGCAACAGTGTGGGTGAAGCGGGTGGGTACAGAAGGAAGAAATGTGACGGTCCACTTGGGAGTCTCTGCAACCCCCTTATTCTGTCTTGACCACTAGGTGCAGGCCCTGCATAGTGCGTGTTGAAGTGTCCCTGGCCTGGCAGGGCCCTTCCCCCCCACCGTCCCAGGCACCCACGCCCCCCTCCACTTACTCGCAAGGGTCATAGCAGGGGGCTGGGCGCTGATTGGGCCCAAAGAGATGCAAGTCGCCGTATTCCCATAGAAACAGCTGAGTCATCAGGGCACCGAAGCCCACAACCGCCAGGATAAGGACTAGAAGGACCCAACGGGCTTTCTGCGGGGGAGGAGGAGGCGAGCAGTCAGCCCAAGGAGAGCAGCCCAGCTCACAGCCTCCAGAGACAGTCTGAGGGTGGCGAGGGGCACCTACCTTTTCTGCAGCTTTCCATGCCTCGATCTCATTCATGGGCAGTTCACTGGCAGGTTCCTCTGCAGGCACCTTCAGCTGGGGCACACGGATGGGGGTGGTGGTGACAGGTCAGCTCAGCAAGGCCCCCACCCTCTCCTGATCCGGCCCCTCCTCCCTGGGTCCCCCATCCACCTACCTCCTGGTACATCAGTTTAGGCTTCATCGTGCCCGGCAGTCAGGGGTTATGCAGATCCCAGGTGCCAAAGTGGGTGTGTCAGGGTCTCCAAACTGCGGGGACCAGAAGCTGGCACTGTGTGGGGTGTTCTAGGCTTTGGGGGGACATTACAGAAAACGGATCAGCCTCGGGCTCACGGGACTCACTGGGTAGCCTTGCCTGTGATCACGGGGGCTACTGGCACTGCGCCTGCCACCCCTAAAGGAGGAAGCTGACTGCTGGTCAGTAGGGATTTCGAAATCCCTCAAAGTCCAACCCCTCTGCCTTCCTCCTATCCCTCTGGAGTGCCCTCCCTGCCTCGCTTTAGTGCCCACCATGCCCCCCTGAGCGCCCACCCTGCCTGTCATCAGCACTTGCACTGCTCCCCATTTAGCACCTTCCCTTCTCTGAGCCCTATCCTACACACTCCCAAAATGACAGCTCCGGATTGGGTCAGCAGAGCCCTAAATATTTTTGTGCCTGGCTTTTCCCAGCCCTGGGATTTACCCTGAAGTCATTTTCCAGGTAGCTCCTTTAACCTCACACTCAGGTAACCACTAGACAGCTCAGGCCAAGAGCCCAAGACCATCGGGGCCTCCCTGTCAGCTCCCATCCCATCCCCCCAATCATCCTCCCCTACCGTACCCCAGAGGAGCCTCGGCCTTACTCGGCAGACAGCTGCTGCTACCTCCACGGGGCCCCAGCTTCTGCCCCAACAGGCTGAGCAGGGGCGGGAGGAAGGAGGGGGCGGGGCCCAAGGGGCTCCGCCCACTGCAGCGGGGAGTCTGCGCAGTGAGCTCGCCGGTCCGGGCTCACCGCAGGGAGAGGGGGGGCCGGCCCCCCAGATACGGTCTAGCCAACCTGGCGGGGGTGGAGAAAGAGCACCGGTCTGAGCGCTGGCTTCGCTACGCTCCATCCTGGAGCCCCCCCAGTATGGGTTAGGGAGGACTCAGGTGAAGAGAAAAAAGAGCCCCCCCCATCTTTTCTCGGCTATAAAACCTGTGAATATTTGTACCGCGGGAATGTATTACCTAGTCAAAAATAAATACGTAAATAAACTAATGATTTTTAAACTTATAAAATAAAATGGAATGATCAAGGCTGAACAACATGATTTAGGGATGCAGCCATAAAATCAAGACACAGCCCACGCTATGGGAGGGGAAGAGCACGCGGTGTGGGATATAAGGGGATGGTGGGTTTTCTGTTGTAATCTGTATTGCAGTCTGTATTTGATTTAAAAAAAAAAAAAAAACTAGACCAACTTCTTTTCATTTCGAACNGGTTGGGGGGGAATGGATACATGTATACGTGTGACCGAGTCCCTTCCCTGTTCACCTAAAACGACCACAACATTGTTAATTGGCTATATCCCAATATAAAATGTTTTTGGTGTTTAAAAAAAAAAAAAATCCAGGCTCCAGCTGAAGGGATAAGGAGGGTTTCCCATTTACCATCTCATATCTCCAAAGCAGAATTTAAGGCCACAGCTGGAGAAATAAATTGAAGGGATTCCCCCTTTCCCACCCACCTTTCTCAATGAAAGAGGGGCAGGACCCCCTTTCCCCTACCCAGGCAGGAAGTGCACAAAAGTAGAGAAGGGTTATTATTGAAAGAAGCAACAGCGTCAGAAGTGGTTGCCTTGACAACAGGATTTGGGGGTGCGTCAGGATTGCTTTTTATCCTACGCCTATTTTCTTTTCTAAAATCGTGACATATGAGCGACTTACAGAAAAGAAAAATATCTGTGCGGGTTAAAAAAATAATTATAAAGCGAACACAGGTGTTGCCGCGTCCCAGGTTTTCTCACGTTTTTAAAAATTCATTCCACGCACTAATGTGATTTAAAAAAAAAAGTAAATTTGAAAGGGAGTTCGGTTCGCCCCTCACCACAAGAACCAGCCTAGATCTGAAAGGATAATTTGAAAACCCCTTCCCCTTCAACGTCTGATCCCAGTTTGGTTAAACGCAGAAGAGCACAAGTTAAGTATTCCCCCACCCCCACCCCATCACAGGGAGCCAGCCAAAGAGGGGATGGATCCAGCGAGGGATGGCAACACAAGCTTATCTGATCTCCGGGTAGGTCACCAGGAGAAGCAGAAGGTAACAGTCTTCGATAAGGCTGACCGCAGGCTGGAAGGGTGGGGGAGGGGAGGCATGGCGCAGGAAACAAGTTTGCCTTTTATTTATTTGCAAAGCCCTTGGTGAGAAATGCTTTATTTGAGACTATGTGGTTGGAACAGAAGGTGAGATGAAATTAGGGACGCTAGTAGTAGTATTAGTTGCTCATTTGGGTCCGACTCTTTGCGACCCCACGGACTGTAGCCCTCCAGGCTTCTCTGTTCATGGGATTCTCCAGGCAAGAATACTGGAGTGGGTTGCCATTCCCTTCTCCAGGAGGGAAGCTAAGATCAACAGAAACAAAACTGGGGAAAGGTAGGGCTGGAAGATGTGAGGGATGGCGCACAGCACAGTGAGGCAAGGGAACTGGGGTGGCCGCTGATAAATCAAAAATAGGAAGAAAATAAACTCAATGGACATGAGTTTGAGCAAGCTCTGGGAGTTGGTGATGGACAGGGAAGCCTGGCATGCTGCAGTCGGTGGGGTCGCAAAGAGTTTGATGTGACTGAGCAACTCAACTGAAGATGCATTTTATTCAGTTTGTTAGCAATCTTTTGGCTTTCAAATTGTGCCGTGATGACAAATCTTTACTGATGGGTTGAGTTTTGACTTGCTATATTTTTATCAAAGCAAACGCACCTAACATACTCACAAAGAAAACCAGTACTGGAGAGGTGGTGTAGGTTGAGTTAGATTGGTGAGGCAGTTAACACTTGTGGCATCCAGAGCCAGATGCCTGATCTTAATATGAACCTCAGTATGTATGCGATTATTTGATTTCAGAGAACTGACAACGCATCTGTGCCTTAGTGTCCCCATCTGCAAAATGGGCAAAGTAAAAATACCACCTACTTTTCACAAGGCTGTTCATTAATTTTGCACAGCTTTATTGTGCACCAGGCATTGTTTTAAGCACCGGGGACATCACTGTGAACAAAACAGACTTGAATAAAGACAGACAAAAAAAAAAAGTAAATTATATGCTATAGAGACTCAGGGAAGAGGGATGGGGTTGGGGTGGGGGTGGGGTTACTTGCATTTGAAAATAAGGAGGACAGGGAAGGCCGCACAGGGAAAGGGATACCTGAGGAAAAAACTTCAAGGAGGAAAGGAAGAGAGCTACAGAACAGTATTCTAAGCACAGAGAACGGCCAATGCAAAGGCCCTGAGGCAGCAGTGTGCCTGTGGGGATAGAGAAGAGGCATGTATCTGGTAGGGGAATGGCAGTGAGGGGAGGGAGGGGAGGTGAATCAGAGGTCACAGGACCAGATTATGTAGAGCTAGCTGGACTGTGGCAAGAATGGGGCCAAGGGTAGGTTCTGGGCAGAGGAAATATGATCTCCTTTGGGGGTTGTAGTGAGTTGAATGGTGGCCTCAAAATTGAAAAGTTGGATGTGGTCATCACTCTTGGAACTTGTGAATGTGACCTTATTCAATGGACCTGGAGTCTCATTACATACATTAGCATATGACACACTCAGAGGCGCCATGACAATTCCAAGGCTGGCCATTAAAGGGCCAAAAGTGGATGGTGGCCCAGTTCCAATCTCCCCACCCTTTCTCCAAGAGAGTTAGAACAATCCTCCTACTCATTAGCCTATGAAATTACACAGCCCAGGGACTTCCCTGCTGGTCCAGTAATCAATTAGACTCAGCACTTCCACTGCAGGGAGCATGGGTTTGATCCCTGATGGGGGAACTAAGATTCTTCATGCTGCCCAGTGCAGCCAAAAAAAGAAAAGGAAAGAAATTACTCAGCCCATAAAAACCAACCACTCCCTATTTCGGGGACTCTTGCCTTCTGAGATGGCCCACACTCTGTGGAATGTGTTTCTCCCAGGGCCAGTTCTTGCTTCTTGAGATGAACCACATCCTGTCTATGGAATGTGTCTCTCTCTAAATAAGTCCACTTTTCATCTATCACTTTGTCCCTCACTGAATTCTTTCTGTGCTGAGACATAAAGAACCTAAGCTTCATTAAATCCTAAGACCAGGTGTGTGATTTAGATGAAAAGAAAGTGGGTTTCAGTCCCAGTTTGGATTTTGGCTGTGTTTTGAGTCCCAGCCTGTAGGACTGAATTGTAATTTCACCAGCCCATTGAATAACTCCCTGTCCCCTTGGCATGTGCCTTGCCTGACCCTGGGTGTGACACCATAGCCCAGGGACAAGAAGGAAGCAAAACCCACCTGTGTTGGGTCACAGTTCCCTGAACACCCCCACCCCCGGTGAGGGTGGGAGACTTGATCCCCCTTCCATAGCAGTGCTTTGGATTGATGAATCTAGGGTTCAAATCCCACCTCTGTCACTTTTTAAGAAATTTTCTAATACATATGTGGCTGCACCCGGTCTTAGCTGCAGCACGTGGTATCTGTAGCCGTGGCATGTGGGATCTAGTTCCCTGATCAGGGCTTGAATCGGGTCCTCCCTGCTTTGGGAGCGTGGAATCTTAGCCACTGAACAGCCAGAAGCCCTCTGTCACTTTCATATTCAGTGACATTGGGCACAGGGCTTTATTTCTCTGAGCCCTGCTGGCCTCATTCATAAAAAGAGGATTGGGACTTCCTTGGTGATTCAGTAAAGACTCTGCTTCCACTGTATGGTGTGCAGGTTTGATCCCCAGTTGGGAAACTAAGGTCCCGTATACCATGTGGCATGGTAAAAAAAAAAAAAAAAAAANGATTGGAAAAAAAAAAAAAAAAAAAAGTGCCCTTGGTTCATATCTCAGCTCTGTGCTTTACCTGGAGAAGAGGCCACCTTTTCTGAGCCTCACTTGCATTCTCAGAACAGCGAGGAGACTAATATACCAACATGACATTTGCTGGGCAGAGTCAATGATCATCCACAGCAGTCAGTTCACACAGATACAAGCTGGCTGGTGAGTTGTGTCCCCTAGTACCCTGAACACACTGTTTATCACAGATAAACTTATATATGTGTCCCTTGAAAAGCTAAGTCTATGTCTGATTTATTCCTACCCACCGAGTGCCTAGCACGTTGTAACCACTCAATAAATGTTTGTTTTCCTTCTGAAAACAGAAGAAAAGAGCAGTAGAAGGGAGAAAAGACTTTCTTAGATGTCACTTAAGATTCAGTGACACTGGTTCAGCACCTTGAGTTCTGAGCCTGGGGCAATAGTGTAGATAGTGGCGCTTCAGCCGGATGGTAAAATTCAGGGTGGGCCACTTAGCTGCTGAAGCATATATGAAGCACTGGACAGGCCATACCTTAGGAAACATTTACAAACCTAGGGACCTTCAAAACAGACCTGCTCTTGGGTTTAAAGGGGCCAATTTTCATTTGATTATGCAGACTCCTTTGGACTGACTGCACAATCATCTGTGGTCAAGTCTACAGAAAACAGTACAGAGCACTGGTTTTGTAAATGTTTTTGTTTTGTTTTTAGCAGCAGATCTTTTATTTCAAAGGACCCCAGAAGGTGCCCCTTCTAGGGACAGAAGATGCTTGGTCTGAAAAACAAGTAAAAAAAAAAAGAGCAAAAAAGGCGCACACGAATCCCCCCATCCCGTCATGAATGGTGCATACTTGGGAACTGGAACTCAAAAGCTGTCCCATCCCTACTCAAACCCCCTCTGTGGCTGCCCACTGCCTTTGGGACAAAGTGCAACTGTCTTATGATGCCCTCCTGGGCTCTCCATGGACAGCGCCTGTGGACCTTCCCCATCTGACAGTTTTGGTTCCTCTGACTCCAAAGCTGTTTCTGACTCATATCTCCTCTCTGAACTTCAGCTCTGCAAGTCCCATGGCCTTCTAGATACCTCCACCCAGGTGTCCCTAAGCCCCTTATACCCATGTCTCCAATTGTCCTTAGCATCTCTCCTAAACCTGCCCCTCCCCTGGGTCCCCATTCCCAGGACAGCTGTCCTACCCACCCTTCAGGTCTCAGCCTGTGTTCTACCTTCCCCAGAAAGCCCTGATGCCCCCAGAGTCCTGGGTCCCCCACAACTTATCCACTTGGCCTCCCAAGAGTGTCTCCCACCCACCCCTTTCCCCTCTCCTCCAAGGCCATGAACTGGCCTCCCTCACCTGGGTCCCCATTCCACCTGCCTCCTGTGGCTCCCAGCCTCCACGCAAACACTTCTAATTCCCATCTGAGTCTGGCTTGCCCCTCCCCTGCTCAAATACTCTGTGGCCCTCAGTGTGCATAGGAAAAGGTCTCAGCTTCTCACTGTGGCTCCCAGAGCCCTTTCCTTAATAACCTTTTGGGCTTATGCCCGTACCACTCTCCATGGCCTAGTCATATTTAATATCTTTCAGTTCCTCGAACTGAAACCACACATTTACCACCAAACCTGCCCACAGCTGCTCCTCCTGCCTGGCATACCTTTCTCTCTTCATGTTGCTCACTTCTATCAGCTTATGTACCACCTCCTCTAGGAAGCCATCCCTGACTCCTTGGCTGGTCCAGACATCCTCCATGGGATTGGCAGTCCCCTGGACTTATCAATCCTAGCCCGGACCCCTCTGCCTATGCCTCTCCCAACCTGGCTCTGACCACTGGACTGTCACTACCTGATGATGGGTCCGGAATCCATGAGGGGAGGGCCGGGCTGGCTGTCACTGCTGTATCCCCCATGTCACCCAGCACAGGGACAGTTCATTGCAGATGCTTAGTGGCCAGTTCATCCATCTATTCATTCAACTAGTATTTATTCAACTACTGCTGACAAGCCCTATCTAGAAATTGGAGATGCAGCACAGAAAAACAGAAAAAAAAAATCCCTAGGAAGGAAGAAATTCTTTTGAGGGAGTGAGACAATAGATCAATGAGTGAATCGTACACCGTGTACCTGGGAGAAAAAGGGACAAGGGAGGGGTGCTGTGGCATCACAGTGAAAGTGGTTGATGTCGCCATTCAAAAATAACAACAGGGACTTCCCATGGTTGAGATGCCATACTTCCAACGCAGGGGGCACAGGTTCAATCCTTGGTCGGGGAACGAATATCCCACAGGCTGTGTGGCCCCAAAACCCTCCCCTCAAATCAAAAAAAAAAAAAAAAAAAAAAAAAACACCACATCTGGGGGAAAAAGCATTATTATCCCTGTTTTTCAGATGAGACAGGGCTCAGGGAAATCACTGCCCATGTCACACAGGGTTGGTCTGTCGGCTGGGAATCTGATCCCAGAACTCAGTTCTGTTCCAAGACACTATATTGTCAAACCAACTCACAAACACAAAATAAGGTGGAGTGTCTTTTCCTTGCTACCCTCCAGGAGGTCTGTGGCTGTGCAAGGGTAGGATATGGGAGAGACAGTGGGGATCCTTATGTTTATTGAACCAGGCACTGCTCAAAACACTTTATATATTCAAATCTCACAACAGTGTTTTTATTTTGTTTTAGCCTAACTTCCCCCAGGTGACTCTCTGGTAAAGAATCCACCTACCAATGCAGGAGACACAGGAGATGCAGGTTCCATCCCTGGGTTGGAAAGATGCCCTGGAATAGGAAATGGGAACCCACTCCAATATTCTTGCCTGGGAGATCCCATGGACAGAGGAGCCTGGTGGGCTACAGTCCATGGGGTTGCAAAGAGTCAGATACAACTGAGGGGCTCAACAACAACAAACAGATAAGGGAACTAAAGACCTAGGGTGGTTAAGCCATTGGCATAAAGGGACAAAACCAGGAAGCCAGGATTCGAGCCCAAGCTCCCTAGGGTGCTGGGTATAGACAGCCCCCTCTCCTGCTATCTAATATCTGTAGACCTGTGGTTTCCTCCCTCCCTCCTGAATAGCCTCTCAAAACCTCTACCGACATCCCCTTCTCCCTCCCTTCAATCTTTGAGAAGGACATTGGAAACTCTCCAAGCATAAAGGATATGAGTGCAGCTTTAAAAGAGGACTTCAGTTGTTCTTCCAGCCAGGCTGCTCTTGCCAGTCCATCCTTGGTAGAAGTTCTCAGCTGCTGC